AAAGCAGTTCCATCTCATTTTCTGGGGAGATAATGTTCAATGTGAATCTCACAGTCTCAAAACCAAGACACTCACTTATTAAATTTATAGTTCTTTGGAAACACCGTTGTATTTCAAATTGGGCAAAATGGGGAAAGATCAGCAGAAATTGGGACTAGAGGTAAGGCATATATACCATTGGCCCCCACTGATACTAGGGCTATATTAGCTAAAGATGCATAGATTTGCTATATAATCTTAATTTCTGTGGCTGCACAGAGGAAGCTGACTCACATTCCTGGGTGCCAGCGCTGGTTCTGCAGTGTCTGTTCCACAGCGACATAGTGACTAATGCAGAGATGTACTCCATCCTTGAAGAAATTTCTTTGGTACAGCATGACTTCAAACATTGCTCCATGATGTAATAAAGTTGTTTTGCACCTGGAACAGATTGGAATAAAAAAAAAAAAAACCAAAACAGGACTAGGAGCAGTGTGTTAGTAATCTTTATTATTTGCCCTGATGCTGGATCCAAGCAAAGGGTTTTCCTACTCTTCCATTTGTCTCCTCTTTCCTTTCAATGTTGCATTCTTGTTACCTTGTATAATGTTTAAGGAAGCGTATCCTGCATAAAATACGAGAACCAAAAAAACACACAAAAAGACACATATATTTAAACCATGTGAAATTTGCTTAAGAATACTACCAACAAGCACAACAGTTAATATAATGCTAATATATTACATGTTGTTGGCAAGCAGGTGAACTCTAATAGATTTGGTAAAACAACAATACTATAGAAGCCTTCTAGAGTAATTTTTCATCTCAGCACACCTGAGTAGTGTTCTGAAGGCTAATGAGGATTTGGTGTAATTATTCCTTAGGTTGTAGTGTCTAAACTAACAAACTCAAACTGATGTGTAATCAAATATATAAAATATACTGTACCTTTTAATCTAATCTTAAATACAGTAATATTTCCATTTTATTCTTGGAAGTTAGTGGTAGGCCATCTATCACTCTACTTAGGGGAACAGTGAATGGTGTTTTGTAAGGTAGCTGCCTTTTCACATTATCTAAAATGATTGTCGTATTATATCCTTTTTATTAAATTGCTTTTTTCCCCTTGAAATATCTGCAGATGTAATTTCTTGATGAATATATTTTCCATTTTATTGAATTTAAAGTGGTGTATGAAATGTGTTTTGAAAAATTTTATCTAATAGCAAAAAATTATAATGTCTTATTTAGGGCAAGGCAAGGAAGAGATTTTTTTGTGCATTAATTATTTCTGATGCGAAGATATGAAATGACTGATTATTGTAGGTTTTGCAGAATTTGTTTTATGGGCCTATGTAAAAAAAGTGTTAATATTATGTGATAAAGCTATTAGCAGAAGTGGGAGCATATTATGAGTAATCTTGTAAAAAATAGTGAAGAAATAGAAAATGAGATAGAATTTGTTTGTTCCCTGTATGGAGCTAACCTTTGTGAATGGAAAGCAGAAGGAAGATTTAAAGTAAACTGTCTAATCCAAATTCGGAATACTTCTTTACAGTGTTGTATAAAAGAAAAGAAATTTGTCTTTAAAAAAAATGGATGTAAGCGTTGATGGGAAAATGTCAGGCTAGATATATTTAGTGCAGCTATTTTCACACTTGAGAAGTTGATTTGAACAGAACTTCAGCAATGCCTATCGTAGGCACTAGATGGTGTTTCAGCCTTTCCTACGGAAATGCACATCCCGTTCCACTACCACTTGAGATTCTAGTTTTGAACTAGTATTTAGCGTTGGAGAGCAGATTTTTGTCCATATTTTCGTTTTCAAATTGGGAGTGTCCCCATGTGAAGAACTGACACCCACAAATTGCAACAATGACGTTTATGTACAAAATGTGTTCACAGCTGCTGAAGTCCTTAGGGTGGTGCTCAGGAGAGTTACGAACGGGTGTAGTAGGTACTGTGCCTGCTCTGGAGTGCAGATTTCTGATGTAAGGGATTAACTCTTTTAATTACTGTTTTAGAAGGGAAAATTCTGTGGTTCTTCACAGGTTTGTAAAAACGCGTGTATTGAACATGCAGTCCACTTGGGTAGTCTCCTCTCCACTTCTCTGCTCTGCTGCCCTCACAGTCCCGTGAAATGCTCTGTCCTGTGGGGACTTGGCAGGGACAGACCTGCTCTGCATGTGTGACCTACTGAGTGCTCTGTCACAGGCACCTGGGAGCAGGAGAAATCCTGTCCAGGAATATGCCACCTTCCCATCTGTGCTCTTATAATGCTACCTTACAAACCTGTCTCATTTAATTGAGAGGTCTGCACTAAAAATTACCAGTATTTTTTAAATTGCAAGAATGCTTCCATCGCAGCAATAAGATGGAGAAGCAATTTAGCTCAGTACTATTTGAGGGCTTGTAATTTTTGTGCTCACTGAAAGCACATACATTTGTGTCTGTGTGACAGGTGCCATTCTTCTCATTGTGTGTGATTATATGAATCACATTATGATTGTTAGGGTCAACACTATGAAATCCTGCATATTGAAAGTACATTGAAAATAAGGCTTTATCAGAAGTGTTAGCTGTAATTATCATTAGACAGTCTTAGAAAAGCAGAAAAAATCTGCAAAATACATAAATATATGCACTTTTCATGCAATGTGTTTGATTTTTTTTTCAATCTGAAATACTCTAAGTAAATTTTTCAGGAGTCAGGTTATGTCAGGAGTACTCTTCCTGATTCTACTTTTAGATGAGGAGATATGAAATCGTATTCATTCACAAGGATCTCTTATTCTGTTGGGTGCAAGAGAATAATACTAATCATCCTGGAGTGCACTGTCTGGGGACAAAATATGGCTGTCAGCCAAGGATATAGTTGCCCAGGTGTTTTGACTATAATATCTAGTTTTCTGATATTATGACATCTACTAATAGAAATAGCACATGAAAAAATGTTGGGGATTTTATCTCATTGTCATTAAAGTTGTTACATATTTGTATACTTCAACAATTGTTTTAGATCTGGTCTTTTTATTGTACTGACACATACGTGGAAAGTTTAGAACTTCTTTCAACTGTATACAAACCAAGCAGAAATACTGAAGCCTTTTAATTGCTATTAATAAAAGAGGGCAAAAATACTTCTGTCTTGGGTGCTGAACTTTCATGTTGGCGTTTTCATGTACTTTCTAACTTAACTGGTAATGGTAAAACAGGCCTGTTCTTGAATTTGTACTTTAATGGTGGCCAGGCCTGAAGAATACACAGTTTTGACCTTTGAATGTCATCTAAGGATATCTAACCTACCTCAGGGAGCAAGCTGCTACTTAGGGAGTCTCTCTCTTTTTTACCCTCAGTGCTTTGATGATTTATTCTGTCTTGTTGATGTAAGCAGACATGAGTTCTCATAGATGGTATCAGCCCTATACAAAGATTAGGCAGTGTACCAGGATGGGGCGTATCACCACCATTAAATGGGCAAGGGATGCCTCCTTTTCCTACCCCATCCTGACAGTTTGTGAATGAAGGAGTCAGTGAGTTTGAGTATGAATCTTGCATCCAGGTAACCCTCTACATGAAGCTCTCATCAAAACATTTTTTGTGAAGTTTGACCAGAAAGCATGGCTGAAATTTTCTACTAGAAAACAACCAGGAGAATAAGACACAGATTGAGGCTTCTGAAACCTTTTCTGGTGGACTGAGCTAGATGTATTAGGGAGGTAGAAACTACATCTTCCACATTATTCAACCATGGAGCCAGCTACATTTAACAGAATAATGAAGAACATTAATGTAAACCTTTGAATTTCCTGAACTGTACACCCTTGAAAAAGAAGCATCTTAGTGTAGGATTAGAACTAGAGACATTATAACTACATTGAAGGTTGAGTGTAGACATTCAAGGAACATGTAGTAAAAATGGTACCATTTTGTCTATGAACTTAGACAAAGATATTTAAGGAGCGAGCAGAAAAAGAAGAATAAAAATAAAAGAAAAAGAAAGCTAAACTAAGGCTAAAGAAAAATGAAGATTAAGGAGTGAAGGATTAAAGTTGCAGTGAAATAATGCTATCTACAATCAAAATTTTAAGATAACACAATAATCAGTTTGAATGTACCATTGTGTTCATGACTGGTGTGTTGTATTTGATTCACTACATCCTGATTTATTCTCATATAACGTAATAACTGAATAGGAAATTGACTTCCAGATAATTGGTGCTGTCAGTTTGCTGCACTGGCATGGGACTAAGGTGATCAGATACAAAAACTTTGTGAGCAAGTAGATTTTAGATTATTAAAAAACCTCATTGCTATATGCAGAATCTCACAACTGGGAAGGTGTAATAATTGTAATAATTTAATAAGCATACAATGAAAGGTAAATCTTGGCTATGAAGTAGGGAGATGCACCGTCTTATACATTGCGTTACTTTATTTACAAAATTACTTTAATTTAAAATTGCTCTGAAAATTAAGTCACTTCTTGAAGTCAGCTTCTTCGTATAAACATAAGATGCAGACCACCGTGGAAGTAAATCAGTGAGCATTTTGGAGAATTATAAAATTACTTGTTTGCAATAGCAGAGGATCTATTCCAGAGTTCCTTACTCAGTGAGAGAATGGATTAAAAGCTTAATGATTTCTTAATTCATTTTTTCTATCATCCTCAAACCATAGTCTTAATTTTTTAGAACTTACATATATTGCCATTGGAATGTCAAGATGTAGAACCTTTTTGTTTATATTGCTTCTATCTGTGGTTTTTCCTTGTGTTTCAAATAATGAAACAAGAAAAGACTAGAATTATTTTTGCTTGTAATTTTTCTAAAACAATTTCCTCCAAGGTTGTACAGACATATTTTATAATGTTGTAGCTAAGCTATTGTAATTTTAATAGAAAGAATTAAAACTGTATTCTTTCTACCTTTGGAAATGGCAACAGTCAGTTGATGTGTGCTTGATGAAGATGTATACAGTGTTTACAAGCTAACAGATTTTACATTTAAATGTCTGAACAGGTAATGTGGGTATGTAACTTGTGCCGAAAACAACAAGAAATCCTCACAAAATCAGGAGCCTGGTTCTATAACAGTGGATCACATGCACCACAGCAGCCTGACCAAGAAGGAATTAGAGCTCTGCGGAACGAGGAAGCACCTCAAGAGAAAAAAGCAAAGCTACAGGAGCATCCTCAGTACCAAGGACCACCAGGTGACATATCCACACAAGCTTTGGACAAAAACAGATCTCAAGGGCTCACAAGACAAGACTCAATTAAGAATGGTTCAGGAGTAAAGCATCAAGTAACAAGTGACACAACATCAGACAGGTAAGAAAGTATTTAATGATTATCCATATAAGATCTCCTGAATTTATGCTACAAATTTTATTTTATCTTTTAAACTTTTATCTTATTTTTATTCTGTAGCCTCTAAAAATACATACTGGGCATTTTGAAGCAACAGTTGAGGAGTCTTTTGTTGGTTTCAGATGGTCATAGCCAATGTGTGGTATTCATTCCTTCTTATTGAAAAAAAAACATGGAACATGGCAGTTGCAGCGTGACAGAGCTTGTCCAGGTGCTTGCAACTTTGTCAAATCATAGTCATTGTGCTATGTTACCATATTTCTTTTGTGGTCACTAACTTTATAGCAAAAAAACTAATAATCCAGAATAGAACTCAAAAAGGCAGGTTAGTGGAAGATGGTGTCTGTTCAGACTACTGAATTAAAGTGTCTGGTTGTACTTGCAGTAAACAGTATTGAAGATGGTGAAATCTTTGTGTAATGACCTGTTTTTTCAATCCCTTGCTTTTTGTTACTGTCATTAGTATGAAAGTTTTTTCTTCACTTGTTTGTGTTAATGCTACTTGGCATTGGTTGAAGCTGCGACTCTATTGGTACTAATGTGGTAAGATCTGCTTTAACCAGAGGCTGGAGGTGGAATTCCCTCCCTTTTTCTTGAGGTGATTGTACCAAAAGGCACCAGAAGGCTCTCAACCTCTGCAGCTACATTTTACTGGAACATAAAAATAAAAGTTGTTTCATTGAATAAATTTAGTTTCTTCTTAAACAGGACTGTAATAGATCTTTAAATATGGTGAGAAGCAAAAGAAGAGAGCAAGCTTGCTCACGTGTTTCCATACAAATGATACCTTCACGTGCGCATGAGAGAGAGACCTCCAGCTGCCTTGGAATTTGGCCTCCAGAGCAGTGTAGTCTGGCAGCATTCCTCTGCTGCCCAGCTATGACCTCATTACAGTATTTATTCTGCCAGCTTGAAATAAGTTAGGCAGATATCTTTTACAGCTAATATAGTTAAAATAGTTTTCCTTTTTCCTCACCTCTTGTATTTCACCATATTTTATTTCCTACTTTTGGTCTTATATGGGAACAAATTGAATGTAATTAGTCTAATCTTTTTTGTTTAACTTTTTCTGCTTGCTGCCCTTTGCTCTGGTTTCAGCTGATGGGTTCAGTACGTAGTGGCTCTGAGTGCTCCTGAGTTATAGGTGTAGTCTCTGAGAGGTACAGCTGGCACCCTGACTTGATGCTAAGGAGCAGGAGGGAGAGACAGATTCTCTTGTGTTAATAATGTGATGATAAAAAAACTCTTGCTCTTGTTCTCAGCAACAATTTAACTCTAAAAATGTTTTTATATTATGCATGCAGAATTACAGAGTGAGACAGGGATATATGAGTAAAAAATTCATATATGCAAGATGCATTTACCCGAAGTAGAGTTTTATGATAAACAGGACAGTATAAAGTAATAATTGCCAAGAGGAAGAATGTGGACTTTATGCCTGAAATCAGAACTATTCTGCTGATTGTGATCACTTCTACTCAACATATTGTTTAAGTCCAGATCGTTTTTTCAGTCATTATCCTCTTCCTGTTTTATTTGGATAATAATACTGATGTTCCCTAATTAACATATTCAAGTGTGCTTAGAATCTGATCTATGTTACATGCTACTGAAGGATAGAGAGTCTGCTGAATATTTTTTCCCTAATGTTCCTTACATAAAGTCTTTTTTTTTTCTTTTTCTGGAGATAATGAAAAAGATTCCACCATGATGCCCAATGAACATCTTACTGGTCAAATGGGTTTTTAGAAGAGAACATCAATGTCTCTGAGAGAGGCTATCCCAGAATTCAAAGATGGGGATAAGGCTTAAGTTTGGATCTCTGCATGCTGTTCTCAATAATACTGAAAGACTTACTATTTGTGCTGATTTTGGCTGGGGTAGAGTTAATTTTCTTCACAGAAAATTGGTGGTATGGGGCTGTGTTTTGGGTTTGTGCTGAACACAGGGTTGATGATATAGAAATGTTTTTGTTATTGCTGAGCAGTGCTTACACAGAGCCAAGGCCTCTTCTGCTTTTTGTACTGCCACACTGGCAGTTGGAAATTGGGGTGCATGTGAGGTTGGGAGGAGACACAGCTGGGACACAGCTGGGACAGGTGACCCAAACTGACCAAAGGAATTTTCCATAAACATCATGCTCAGTAAATAAAATGGAGGGAATAAGAAGGAACGGGGAGTCATTTGTAGTGATGGTGTTTGTCTTCCCAAGTAACCATTGCATGTGATGGGGCCCTGCTCTCTTGAGGGTGGCTGAACACCTGTCTGCCTATGGGAAGCAGCAAATTAATTCCTTGTTTTTCTTTGCCTGTGTGTGGGGCTTTTGCTTTACCTGTTAAACTGTCTTTATCTCACTCCATGAGTTTTCTGCCTTCTATCCTTCCAATTCTCTCCTCCATCTCGCTGGGAGGGAGTAAGCAAGTGGCTGCATGGGGCTAGGACTTAAACCATGGCACAATTTTATTACATACAGCTGCTTGTAAGAGCAGAAGATAATGTATTATTCTCTTTATACCAAAGTAATGCATAGAATATATATATCATAATTTGATATAATTTCAGTATTAAAATTTATAAACCCATGTATGTGCTGCTTAATATTGTTTTAACCATTAGGCTAGTATTCTGTTCCCTTGATGTATACAACAGTCCCATTTGCAATTGATAGATTCCAAACTGTTTAGACAGACAAGTAGGTAGTTGATTATGGATTTTCTTTGAGTGATCTGAAATTTATTGCCTTAAAGAAGTCTGGGATGATTTTGGATTGCACATTCTTCAAGGACATTTTTCTCATATTGTGTCTATTACATAAAAAAATAAAATGTAATTAAATGTCCAGGAGCAAGTTGTACTTACAATCAGCAGTTTATAGAATAGAGTCATATAATGTCTTGCATTGAAAGGGACATTAAAGACTGTATAGGTCCACCCCACCTGCCATGGACAGGGGCACCTTTCACTAGACCAGGTTGCCCATAACCCCATCCAGCCTGGCCTTGACCACTTCCAAGGATGGGGCATCCACAACTTCTATTGGCAACCTGTTCTGGTGCCTCACCACCCTCACAGTAAAGATTTTCTGCCTTATATCTAACCTAAGTCTACCATCTTTCAGTTTAAAGTCTTTACTGTAATATTTACAGTCTGTGCTACAGTGCTTTTGCTGCTTTGTACATAGTGAATCCATGGATAAAGGCAGAGGCAGCAGGCACACCTTAGGATTCAGTAATTGGCCATGGTATATTTGACATTGTTTGAGGTGAGACTGGCAGAGTATACATCACACGGAGGTTTGATGTTAAGCACAGTTGAACTGTAACCATACATAGTGCTTTTCACAGACTTAACCTTTTGTGCAGAATATGGATGCTGATACAGTGTAATGCTGCATTCCCCGAAAACTACCAAGTGATGTGAATCAAAGAAATGCAAAATGTTATTCTAAGTAATCCACAGACTCATAAGGTCCATTCTGAGGTCTGCTTTGCACAGATGCTGGATTTATGGCTGCAGTTCTTTGATTTGTAGTATTCAATTTCACGTTAATTCTGGATTTTGCAAAAAGGTCTCATTTTATTTTATTTTCATCAAAAAATTTCATGTAGTCTATTGTTCCCAAGACCTACACTACTCATCATTCAATACATTGTGTTTTCTCTCCAGCAGCAAAATTATTTGAGCAGATATAATCTTTTTTTCAGTCATTTTGCAGCAGGCAATCAGTTTGTGAAATGGTTGGTTTCTTCATTCCAAAGCCCAAGCCAAAGCAAATGTTTACGACATCCTATTAAAATGTGTACAATATCCTAGTAATAAAATCTGGGAATCAGGGAACCTTAATGCTGATACAAAGCTTTTTTACATGTCATTCTGTTTGCCTGAATTATTAGACCTTTAGGTAGTGTTGCCATGCTCGACTCGTTAAATAATTATTTCTCTTGCTTTTAGCAGGATTCACTGTAAATCCATTTTAGTAGTTTTCCACATATGAATTCAGTGTTTTAAATTGTAAATATTTTTTGACATTCTTCCAGAAGTGTTGCTTCACAAACCTTTTTTCTATATACTTAGCTCTCTTAAAGTAGGAAACGACTCATGCATCTTCCAAAAGTAAGGTTATGATGACATAACTATTAATATATAACTGAAATGATGTTATGTAGTTCAGGAAGATAAGAATTATTTGGTTTTTTAAAATTTTTATTATTTTCCCTAGTCGTATTGTATGAATCCAAAATGTTTTTCAAAATTTGAAAATGATAACTTCAGTTTTACAAATATATATTTGTTATGCATTATATTAGTGTAAGAAAAACTTTCCCAAGGATATATTTCATGAGATTCAATGAAAAAAAGAAAGTCAACTTATTCTTGCTGCATCTATCGGAGGGTAAGCCATGTCACAAAAAGAGAATTGGTTCTTGGTATCTGTAAAGATCATGATCTGTAAGATCACGATTTGAAGCAAGACTAATGAATAAAGCTGCCTGAACCCTTTTCAGATTAACTGCAAGGATATGAGATTAAATCATAAAAACCAGAATGAAAACAACAAATTGAGAGTGAGCAGCTGCAGAGTTGCACAACAGCAGTATTTATTTTCCAGGCCAGCAGATACGGATAAAATATGTCCTCCTTCCCTCTTCCTGGGCTTCTCCTTTCAAAGCTACATTATTTTGCGGTTTATTTTCTATCAACCCTCTTATCTCAGAAAAAAAAGAGGATTTCTGTGGTGGTTTCCATATGCTAAAGTGGGCTTGGAGAATGCATTTTGTTCTGAGTAAGAAATGTAAACAAGAATGTTGAGGCTAGTTGGGTCTGAAGACGCAGGATTTCTGCATGTATTCCTTATGAAATATGTAAATGTGCTTCCCACATATAAGGGCTTTATTTTGTTGTGTTACCAATGGCAGTAGCATTAAAGTGGTTCCCTGTGTCCCTTTGCTTCTGTTCTTGGA